AATCGATTTATTTTAAACTAATAGGGTGACATGGTCACACGAACCAAAGAAAAACTCCAAAAATAAACGTGAACGTGATGATTGTATATGCACAATCAGCTATATACAATCTACAAATATGGTCATCTACTTTCGAATAATAATAATAATAATTCCATGTTTCCTTTTTTACCTTTCTATATAGTATAATAAAATACAGGATTATAATATTATGTAGTATGCTTATAAGAACTTCAGTCTATCCATAAATATTATTAGGCCCTTTGGACTTTGTTCAATACAAACATATAACATTAACAGGTCTTGCGTGTGAAAGAGTTATAAATTATAATACAGTGAACATCCATTTTACGAAGTCTCATTGGGCAACAAAAAAAATCGTATTATAAAGAATTTCGTTAAATAGAATTAAATAAATTTGGTTTGGTTCTCAAAAATGTTTCGTTGAACAGAACATTTTGTTAATTGGAAGTTCGCTGTATGGAAGTTTCACTGTATATTATTTTAAGTGGTTTGCGTGTAAAAAGGTTAAGATACTGGTTTTTTTTTGGGGGGGGAGGGGGTATCTTCAAAAATCAAAATTAATCTTCTCTATTTTAATATATTTTTCCACAGATCTTTTTCAGCAATGGAAAATTGATACCATGAACATTGGACCTTAGTACCTTCCAGTATTGCGGTCATTGTTTGTGAATTTAGAAGTTTTGGTTAGGTAGGTACGTTTTTTTTTTTTGAAGTTCGTTCAAAACAAAATTGAAGAGAAGTTGGTAATTTATTGGAAATTAATTTGTTTCTTTGTTTTCGTAAATATTCGACATACCATTTAAGTAATTTAGACAATAAGTACGTATTGCTTGGCATTTTATATTCTTGTACATAATTCAAATATCTTGAAAACTGTAGTCATAATGTAAATAATTATTTTACTTTTATGATGCTTGTTCTATATCTCGAAAGTCAAAAGAACATAAACAAATAGTTGGTTTACAATTATGGTTCTTTATAACTAAGATAAAGCACGTAGGGGGTTTATGTATTTTTTTTTTGATTTTTCGATATTGTTTTTGCTACTAATTATTCTGATATTTCTGAATATGTAAATCGTCTATTGGAATATCAAATAAGAGGTTGTTACAACTTTAGAACCAAAATAGATCGTTATACAGTTTGAATTACTCTGTACAATTATTAAACAGTTTCACAAATAAATTGAAAACCTTATAATTTATAAATTATAATAATATGACGTATAATATGACTTTAGCCATAGGTATAAGGAGGTCGTTATAGTATATAGTATATCGCTATATGCACGTGTCGCGTTTGAACACATGAAACCCTGCAGTACACTGTCGGAACATTTATCATTAATTGTTTTACTAATTATTATACCTCTAAAATGTTAGTTGTTAAAAGTGATTCTCGATCTTTACTTAGCTTCACAAACCTAATCCTAATTATAGCACTAAACAGGAGACCGTATTTTATTACTGCATAGAAGAATAACAATATATGGTACAGGTATACACATCTCTCAAAACAGGTGGTCACAGCCTTATTTCTAAAAACTATTAGAACTCATATATTAACCATTAGCTATAGTATACACATACATTATTACGAGCTGGTGTCTTAAATAATTAAATTCCAATGTTATTTACATTATTGTTGTTTTAGCTAGTTATAAAAGTGAGTATTTTTCGAATATACGATTTTGCATAAACATAGAAGAAAGTATCTTTATTTGTTAAAGAGGTTTTCGATACGATCTCCACTTAACAAATTGAGGAATGAGGGTTGTTAGTGAAATTATAAAATAGATAATATACCTCATATTACGTATGTTTACTACCTACCTAAATAGTGCAATGCAAAATATATGATGATTATTAATTATTATTATAAATTGTAATGTTATATGTAGGTACTTACCTATTGGCGAGTATAATACAATTGATATATTATATCGGATTCTAATTCGAATGATATATTATGTATTTAGAGTACACCCGTGAAAGCGGTGTTTGTTCGACAGGAGCACGGGTATAACTGAAACGGAAAAGTTTGCCCGCCCCGCGGCTTTACCACCGCAAACGGATGCTTGTGCATGTGCAAAACGTTCGTCGTCAGGCCCACGCCCGGCCGGGTCCCACGCGCAACGATCTCTCTGTCACCGCGAGAACAGCCGCATCGTATACGCCGATGTATATAGGTATAATAGGTGTAATAATATAGCATAATAATATATAGTTTGAATACCTATATACGTGGTCCGTCCCCCTTCGACCGTTGATCTTTTTATTGCTAAATTTGGTCAAACCGAAACGAAAACGGCTGCACGGTCGAGAGTTATATAGGTATATATATAGGTACATACATAGGTATATATATAGGTATATAGGTATGTATATATAGGTAGGTATAGTATATACTATATTATAATATTGTATCTGCATAGTACGCATTATTGTACGTGCACGATATAATAATAATATAATTCATTATAGGTACAGGGTGACTGTCTAGCCGTTAGTCATAATCGTGTTGCACACAAACCAGAAAAACATCAGATTTGCACACTCGACCGGCACCACGGGTACCTAGCTACTTACATTTTATTATTGCAGATAAAAAACCATGATTAAAAACCATGGTTATAACCATCATAGTTTTATTTATTTTGTCTGCTCTGACTCAAAGAAGAAAAGTAAAACGATTTTCAAATAGTAAATTAATTTAGCCGATTTACAGCATTAAGTACAATAGTACCTGCAGGGTATATATTGTAAACATTTTAAAAATAATGAATTAGTAACGATTTCCGTTAGGTCTTAGGTGCCGTTAGGGACTTCAAATAGTTATTTTAAGTCTTAAATTGTAGGTAGGAGAAGGCTGGTGAGAGTATATATAATGTTATATAGTAGGTGGCGGATATGTACGAGGACAAATTCAGCGAGACACCCGGGATAATGCATAAAGGAGGAACCTATAATATATATATATATAGGTATAATTATATTTATACTATTATAAGTATATTATACAATATTGTACAGATGCTTTTGTCTCTTTTGTAGAGCTTCTTCGATACAGCGGATGGGTAACAATAGTACCTATCACATATTACAATAATACAATATATTATATGCAGATTTGTTTTTATATTTATAAGCTTTCAACTAATATGCAGATATAGGTAATTCAATTCCGCGTCAATATAATATAATATATATTGTCATCGAACACTTGCAATATAGGTACCAATATTATAATTTATACTAGTTTCGAAACAATTGCACAAAACGATATATTATTACAGCAGTGGTGTACTGCAGGCGTCGCTCGTTTGGAAGGGGGACTAAGAAGGAATTGGTCCCCATCCGATGTGTAAAGGTTGATAGTTGGAATCATTCGTAATTAGCCGTTATAAAATACTAATGGTAAATATAATTAATACATAAATACAACTAGGTAACTGTCAAAAAAAGATTTGATAAAAATATAACATAATGTAGGTACGAAATAATATTTTACTTAACTTATGTATTAAAAAAAAATGATCTGTAGTTGTTAACTGTTAGTATAAATGTATAATATTAATGGCTGTTACCATTTTTATTAGGTAATTATTATATTTTTATATTACGATTTGTAAATGGATTTTTAGTTTTATAAATATTTAATACGGCCAATACGTGTGGGAAATAATGACAAAGACTACCTCATTGGCCGACGGCCATCGCAGTTCTAAAAACATTTATAATATTTATAAGTACTTTTAAAATATGTAGGTACCTACTCATCACTTTTATTTCTGTTCATATTGAATTAACAAACTTTTGGATTGTTCATCTTTCGGTAGAAGCCGAAAACTAGTGTCTAGTCTTAGAACTACAACAACAATTAATAGCAACTGCAGTTATGGATGATACATTGTTAGGTACTAGGTATATCTACAAATACATACATAATTAAGATAGAACAGAAAAAGTTCTAGAGTCTGAGATTTTTGAAAATTACTGTACCTCTTGGTTTTGTCTTGGAGAAATAATTTGCCCCATTATTATAATATATTTGACCGCAACAATTATTTAATTATTACATGATAAGTACCTACCTATATCGCTACTTTACGATCGGCATAATATTTTAAATGACTGAAATACTGAATGTATGAAACTAATTTCCCTATTTATTTTTGTATGTGTACACTAGGCCCCAAATCTAAGTAAAAGCACAGGGCCAGTTTAAAGTACCCTTAAGACTTTAACTCTTAAGTCTTTAGTAGTTTAGTATATATAAGTTATGATATAATTAATTATAAAAACTGGGGAAGTAGCTCTGCTTCATAGTAAGTGCCAAGTGTACTTACTACTTAATCATAGATTAGGCCACTATAATGGATGTATTAAATTTGAATTCACTGGATTTTTACTGCTCCAAAAGGTGATGATTTAAATAAAAATAATTAATAACATTACAAAATTAACATTTTAAAACCAATACATTCATCGCTCCACTCGAAATCTAAAAATATTGTTATATTAAGTTGGTACACATCTTACGACTAGGTACATACTATACATAATAATATCTATACAGTATACAATTACTATTATAGTATTATTACATAATAAAATAAATTACTTCTTACCCGTCCTACCCTATTGTCCTTTTTTTTATTTTCATAAATAATTACACAATCTATACTTAAGGCGCCTTTACACGTAGAATCTTTCCTTCACTCCTGGAACGTACGGGTTTGAGCGAGGACTTGACTGCGCGCAATACTCTGGCGCGCAATCCTCTCTAGTCAAATTGCTGTAAAATTCTTTCCCGCGTGCTTTCCTCCTTACCATTCGTCTTTCGCTCAAAAACGTTCGTCTAAAGTGTATCCCCGACGTTTTGAAAGCGTGAAAGCGTGGCGCGTGGAGTGTTCGAAATTCCAACAGTTTTGCAGTCGCGTGGAAGTTTTTAAGCTAAATATTTTTTTTTTCAAAATGATGAAAATTCGAGAAAACAATCGTATTCGTACTATTGCGTTGGTTGGATTGTTTTCAATAATGGATCAAAATCTATCAAAATTGAAACGAGTTAGCAGTGTGTGGGTGAAGGAATATCGAAGGCGTTTTGGTCATTTGCCATTAATATCGGAACTACGAGAAAATTACCCAGACGAATTTAAAAATTATTTACGGATGGATAGTGCATGTTTTGATATGTTATTAGCATTAGTTGGTCCAAAAATTTGTAAAACCGATACAATAATGAGGAAATGTATTAGTGTAGAAGAACGTCTCACAGCAACACTTAGTTAAATATATTTAGGATTTTAGCATTTAAGTCATTACTTGTAAATTATTTTAATAATAAAAAATTATAAATGTCAAGGTTTCTGGCAACTGGAAGATCTTTTGAGGACCTAAAATTCAGTTCAGGAATTTCTGCTCCATCATTAAGTGTACTAATTCCTGAAACATGCAAAGCCATTTTTGAAGTGTTGAAAGAAGAATATATGAAGGTAAAGTACCTATGGCTTATAATATTTGTAAATTATTATGTTATATATTTATTTAATTAATTACGGCTGTACGACTGAACTAACTAAAATATCATAGTATTATTAGTATTATATCTAGTAATATCACCTAAATATAATACCTAATATCAAATACTCAACCATGCCCCATATAGGTTAGGTCAACTGTTATTTGTTAAGATGGCTTAGATTTATTTAATAAAATCATAATTACAATAAAATTATTCAAACTTCACTTTACTTAAGAATATAATTACATAACAATAAATGTAGGTAATACCATTGAGTATAGATACTATCTATACTCAATGGTAATACATTATTTTTTAGATGTCTTAGGTTTATATTTATCTTCTTTATATATAAAAATGGAGACAAAAAATTTGAAATAGCATCAGTTGAGAACGGCTGGGCCGATTTTGCTCAAATTTTTTTTAAATGATAGAGAATGTTGGTGAGCGGGTTTATAGCATAAATTATGGACCTAACTCATGTGAATTAGAGATTTGGAGACAAAAACTGAGTTACACCGGTGGCGCCCTCTAGCAGATAAAAATAAAAATATAAATATAATATAAATAATAATACAAATATCGATAATAGCAGGGCTGGAAATCGATTAATATCGATAAAAATCAAAAAAAAATATATTAGAGAACAGCTGGTCCGATTTGTCTCAATTTTTTTTTAAGATGTTCGTAATTAATAGGTGAAGGTTTTTACGAAGGAAAATTTTTAAAAAGTCAACTGAATAATTAGAAAAACTGCAATAACTATTTATTGATGTCTGGGATTTGAACTCGATACCGTTGTCTTTATTTACTCTATGGTGTATTATATTATATTGGTTGCTATTGGTTAATCAGGCATGTTTGTTGATTTGTATTATTATTTTTTGTCAATATATATATATATATATATATATAAATGAATGATGGTGTGTAGATTAGACCTATGGGAAGAAGATACGCTAATTTAAAAAGTTTTAAATTTGGTTTTTTTTTATTCATCTGATTTTAGTACGGTTAGGTCAGGTTAGGATTTATAGGTATGTGGAATTAAGTAAAAACTTCAACCTTGGTATAACTTTGGTACTTTTTGAGTTGAATCATATACTTACGTACAAACAGCACGGGGTCCGCGATCTACCACAGGTAGATTGCCTACCTGATAATATACTGCTGCGAAACAGAATTTTTATTCCGGGCAACAGAAAAGTTAAGATAAATCTAGAACATCATACACCGAATATTAAATAACGCATTGAACAATGTTTGAGTCATATAGAGTTGGTACACATATAGAGTTGGTACATTTAACGGGAAACGAAGTGCACGGGATCAGCTAGTAATATTATAATTTCAATAAGATTATTCTAACTTCAGTTGACTTTACAGTATAATTACAATTAAAATAATTAGAATATAATTACATAACATTGAACATAGGTAATATATTATAGTTACTAGCACCTGTATTTTAGTGTAAAGTGTTAACAATATAATAGATAAATACATTTAATAAATTTAAATCTGGGAATAATTAACAATATTATGTTGATGACTACTGACTTGGTATATTATGAATGGTGTAACAATTGATAAATCATTAACTTCAACAAAAATTACAAAATGTCAATAACAGAAATGGTTTTTTTTAAATGTATAACATTGGTTTAACATATTATATTAAAGCATTGATTTAAGTATATATTAATTATTTTAAAATACAATAACACATAGGTAGGCGCAGAAAAATGTTTTCGTCACAGGTTAGAATAGTTATTAGAAAACTTTACTTTGTATTAAGTTAGGTTGACCTAGTCTTTTAGTATTAACCAACTTATTCACATTTTTATTTTACGTTTAAACTTTTAAATGGAAATTATAGATGACTTTTTGAAGTTTCTGAACCTATACTTTCATAAATTTTTTTTAAAATTCCAAGTTGATTGCTGTTTTCTATAAACGATGAATCATCTGTACATTCTGGAATTGAAGGTGGACCATGAGATGACATTTCTTCTGCATATGAATCTGGAGTTGAAGGTGGACCATGAGATGACATTTCTTCTGTATAGTATTGTGGTGTTGGGCGTGAAGGTGTGGCTGTATACTCCAATGGATATGTCCGAGTTACATTTTGATAGTGGTTAGATGTTAGAGATGGTGCGGCATTATGTGTTGATGGGATAGAAAGCAAATGAGAAAAACATTTATTATCGCATACATTTGTGTCATCTGTCAATGTATTAAGTAAGTCTCTACGTAAAAGTGTATTTATTATCGATTCGGCATAAACCATTTGAATTGGATCCATTCTTCCTAACTTATTGGTCACAGTAATGCCGATTGCTTCACACTCACTGACATCAGTAACATTTTGAGTTTTTAAAGCAGCTGTACATACTTTCATAAATTCCAATTGTGTATCAGCCATTTTCATTTTTTTTTTTAATTCCAGGACGAATTGGCGAAGGTGTTGCAAATATGCCACTCTAAACAATCATGAATTAATATTTAATTGAACAATTTAGTTCGCGTTCGGCATCCGTCGCGCACACTGCTTGCGCTCCGTCCTGTGATTTTATTTATTCCGTATATTGGTCTCATGTATCAATTTATACTTAATTACACTTAAAACATCTGCGTTAAATTAATATAGTAATGTAAAAGATTACTTAGTTTCAAATTATTCTTATAGTCGATATAAATAACAAAATTAATAATCTCATCGTCGATTACCTACGTATTCACTATATTATTTACAACAACTTGTGTGCTGTCTTATCGCACGCCGCTGCGGCGGCAGCGACCTCGACTTTATCGCAATAATAATTATGCCGCAATCTACATCCAATAATATAAACACAAACATAGCCAGCACTAAATCTAACGGTACTACCAAACTACAGCCTGCTCGCCTAAACAAAGTTTCAACTTCTGTCAACACTAATCACTCAGTCGGTAATCAAGACGTTACCATGGAAAATTCTTCGTCAGGAAATTGGTCCGTGGCACAGTCAAAAAAAATCAAAGTAATAATAAAAGAAATCTCTCTTCCTCTTCTTCCGAACAAAATTCGCCAAAAATACAAAACAACAAAAAATTATTTTTTACGTCAAACCGCTTTGAAGTGCTCTCACAAGATGATTCACAGCCCACCTCTCCAACAAAACCTACTCCACCGATTTCTAATGAGTCAATTTCAAATAACAACATCAATGTCGGAATTAAAACAACTCTCCCCCCACCAATTTTTGTAAAAGGTGTAATCTGTTTTACCGATCTTTGTTCAGAACTTATTGAACAAATCGGAGTAGATAATTTCTCCTGCAAATCCTCAACTGACCGCTTAAAAATTATGACAAGTAACCCAGCTTCCTATAGAACGCTGATTCATTTCCTCAAAGAGCAAAAAGCTGAATACCACACGTACCAGCTCAAAGAGGATAAACCAACGCGAGTGGTCATCCGTAATCTCCATCCGTCCACGTCCACAGAACTTATCAAATCGGAGCTTGAGTTGCGGTTATTTGAGGTCCGTCAAGTAACAAATGTATTACATAAAATCAATAAACACCCACTACCGTTATTTTTCGTCGACCTCGAACCGACAATTCAATCCAACGATATTTATAAGCTGACATCTCTTATTCACACCAAAATAAAAGTGGAAGAACCATACAAAACAAAAATTATAAGCCAGTGTATCAACTGCCAGGATTATGGTCATACCAAATCGTACTGCGGCTATCCAGCTCGCTGTGTCCGCTGCGGCGCACTCCACTCCTCATCAGACTGTCCCAATCCACGAGATGCTACTCCAAAATGTGCCCTCTGCTCCGGTGTTCACCCCTCAAATTACAAAGGCTGCTCTGTTTACAAGGATCTACAACATCGCAACAAACCAAAAAAAAGCAATCTTCTGTCGGATAATATTAGTCATAAGAAAAATGTACAGGTTAGTCATCCAGTGGTTACCCCCTCAACAAATCCACCAGACTCGTTCCAAACCTACGCACAAGCTACCTCCGGTTCTTGCTCTAATAACATAATCCCTCCTCCTGTATCAGATATAAACAAGTTCCTTGACGAGTTTAAATTACTAATAAATCCACTAATCGCCCTTCTCACCCAAGTTATCTCAAAACTTCTGGATAAAAATTAATGTCTTCATACACAAGTAACTCCCTTCTTATCCTTCTATTCAACTCAAATGGTCTTAAAAATCACTCAAATGAACTCCAGATAGTACTCCAGGAGAAGCGTATCGATATTGCCTTGATATCCGAAACGCACTTTACAAAATACTCTCACATCGCTATACCTGGTTATCATCTCCTAAAAACAAATCACCCAGATAACTCTGCTCATGGTGGTGCTGCAATTTATATTAAATCTTCCTTGTCCTTTCAATCCCTTCCAAATTTTTGTCAGCCCCATTTACAGTCCTGTGCTATCTTACTACACCTCAACAATATTCCAACAACTTTAGCAGCAATATATTCCCCTCCGAGGCATAATATTAATATTCAAAACTATATAGATTACTTTAGCTCCTTTAGCCAAAACTTTATCATTGGTGGTGACTTCAATGCTAAACACCTCAGCTGGGGCTGTCGTACAAACAACCCAAGAGGTACGGTTCTCTACAATTTTATAAATCTTAAGGGCTACAAAATCCTTGCGCCCCCTGGACCAACATACTGGCCTACCTCCTTACACAAAAAACCGGACATACTAGACATATTTATTTCCAACACACCTCGCAATCTATTCTGCACGACTACCAATCTCTTAGAACCCTGCTCGGATCACTCTGCAGTACTCCTGACTGTCAGTGCCTGTCCTCCAACCCGGCCTTCTCTACCAAAACTCTTTCTACATTCAACCAATAGGCTTAAATTCCACGACTTGGTGGATAAAAATATAAATCTCAAAGTTAGTCTTAAATCCCCCCAAGAAATTGATGAAGCCATAAACTACCTAACAAATGTAATCCAATCTGCAGCATGGGCTTCTGGTCCTACTAAAATACAGCATTCAAATGTTGCTGCTTCAGTCCCCGAACATATTCGTATCCTTATATCCAATAAGCGCAGAGCAAGGGCCGTTTACCAACGTTCACGTCTTCCATCCCACAAACGTATTTATAACAATCTATCTAACTCGCTGAAAAAAATACTAGCTAAACATAAAAATCAATCTTTTGTAAACCATCTCTCCAACTTATCACCTAACAATGGCAGTCTTTGGGCAGCTACCAAAAGCCTTCTAAAATTCAAACCGTCGCTCGTTCCTATAATAAATCCCCACGGTGGATTTGCTTCAACCGATGTTGAAAAAGCAGAACTGTTTAAAGAACATCTAACTGAAACTTTCACGCCTCATCAGGATATACAAATTCCTTCACATACTGACAAAGTAAATCGTTTACTTGATATCCCTCTTTCTATCTCTCCCGCAGTTAAGCATTTCTCTCCTGGAGACGTTAAATTTACAATTCAAAAATACAGTCCCAAAAAATCTCCGGGGTTCGACCTGATAACTGCAGAAGTGGCCAGGTCCCTCCCCAAAAGAGCCATTGTTTTTCTCACAGTTATATATAATGCATGCCTAAGATTGTCATATTTTCCCATGCTTTGGAAATTCTCTGTAACAATTCTAGTTCCAAAACCTAATAAGCCCCCTGACATGTCCTCCTCCTACCGACCAATAAGTCTCCTCCCCTTCTTCAGCAAAATTTTAGAAAGATTAATTCTTAAAAGAATTCTTCCATGCATTTCTGCCAGTTCCATATTACCAAATACTCAATTTGGTTTTCGTTCCGCTCATTCCTCAATACATCAACTACACAGACTAGTTGATGCTATCTCATTCTCCCTTGAAAAAAAAAGTTATTGCTCCTGCGTCTTCTTGGATATATCCCAAGCATTCGATAGGGTATGGCACGAGGGACTGCTGTATAAAATAAAGCCAATATTTCATCCAACCTACTACTTATTAATCAAATCCTACCTCACGGATCGTTACTTTCAGGTCAGAGTTGGCACATCCTTTTCTGGCATAGCAAAAATTAGTGCAGGTGTTCCTCAGGGGGGCATCCTTTCTCCTCTATTATACAACATATACGCTGCCGATCAACCAACCTCTCCGTACACATCTGTTGCGGAGTTTGCCGATGACAAGGCTATTATTTCTATCCATGATAACCCTCACACAGCTTCCCTCAATCTTCAACTCCACCTGGACCTCATGGCTGATTGGTATAAAAAATGGCGTATCAAAGTTAACCAATCCAAATCACTTCACACAACTTTCACCCTTCGTCTTCCTCCTTGTCCTATGGTTTATCTAGACAATATTCAAATCCCTTCCTCTCAATCGGCTAAATACTTAGGTCTGACAATTGACCGTCGACTCACATGGTCACATCATATTAAAATTAAAAGGCTAGCCCTAAATGCACGACTCCGCATCCTCAAAACTCTAATTACCAAAAACAAACACACTCCATTAAATACTAAACTCTTAATTTATAAATCCTTGTTTAAGCCTATGTGGACCTATGGTCTTCAACTCTGGGGCAATGCCAAAAAATCGAACACTAATAAAATTCAAACCTTCCAAAACAACATCCTTCGTAAAATCACAAACTCTCCTCCATATATTTCAAACCTAACTTTACACACCGATCTAAAAATTAAAACAGTCCACGAAGAAGCAGTAACCTTTTACAAACGTTTCCACTCAAAACTTCCTTCTCATACCAACCCCCTCATTTCAAACCTTTCCACATTCACAATTCCTGGGAACCCTCCTAGGAGGCTCAGAAGAAAATGGTGTCGAGATCTTCTCAATGAGTAACACACAATAATGAGCAAACATTATAGAAAAAAATAAAATAAAATAAAATAAAATAACAAAAAATATCAAGTAAGGGTAGCGTAACCACTGGGTGACTCCTCCCATCACGTAATCATGTTATAAACTTTTAAAATATCACATATTCTTATTGTTCCTAAAAGAACAGATTGTATATACCTTATAAATAATAAAAAAAAAAAATTGAACAATTTAATTTTATAAACAAAATAATAACATAATTTAGTTAAAATTATTCTACTTAATTTGCAAATAGGTACATATCAAACTAACAGACTATTAATCATTATTTAAATCACTGGTTCCCAAACTGGGGGGCGCGCCCCCCTTGGGGGGCGTGTACACATTGCTGGGGAGGCGCAAGCAGTTTTTACGAAAGACAATTTTTATTGATTACATTTTTTTTATTTTAAAACGTAGAGAAATAAAATTAGTAGACTGGTTCTCTTTATCCGTTCTCGGGTATCAATAATGGATAACCGATAATGACTATAAATAGTTTTATGCTACGTTATCTGTAAATTAATCGGAACGATAAAAGGATGTTAGGGA